AAGGGAGAGAGAGTGAGAAACATCGACGTGAAGGGACACATCGAGTGGCTGCCACCCGCACGACCAACCAGGGCCGGGGACAAACTGCAACCGAAGTACGTGCCCTTAGCGGGAACCGAACCCGGGTCTCTCTGGACCGCAGGCCGACGCTCTAACCGCTGAGCCAAACTGGCCAGGGCCAGAGTAGTATAAGTTTTTATTCCCTGTTACAGCTAAGTGTTTCTTTTAATTTTTAAATTTTATTTTTATTTGGAGGAAATTGGTCTTTTTTTTTTTTATTTAAATCCTCACCTGAGGATATGTTTTTAATGCTTTTTTTTAGAGAGAGAGGAAGGGAGAGAGAGAGAGAGAGAAACATCAATGTGGGAGAGAAATATTGATTGGTTGCCTCTCATATGTGCCCCAACTGGGGACTGAACCTGCAACCTAGATGTGCCCTGAACGGAAATTGAACTCACAACCATTTTATTTTTTGGTATACAGCACAGTGCTCCAACTGATTGAACCACTTAGCCAGGGCAGGAAATTAATCGTAACAGATAACTTTTTGAAGGTTTTTAAAAGTTGAAAATGCCCATTTGACAATTTTTTTCAAATAATACAAATTTAGTAAAAGGTAAGCTGCCTCCTCACTCTTGACCCCAGTTCTCAAGTCCTTTCTCAAAGGCAACCACTGTTACCGGTTTCCTGTATACCCTTCCAGAAGTAGTTTGTATTTAGACAATCACATATATGTTTTTTTTTTTTATGCAAATAGAAGCTCATAGGATGCAATTTTATACCTTGCCTTTAAAAAAAATTGAAATAATTATATATTCACATACAGTTTTAAGAAAGAGCACTTGCATGCTTTTCCCATTTTCCTTTAGTGGTAATGTTTTACACAGCTATCGCATATCACAACCAGGGTATTGGCGTTGATACAATTTACCAGTTTTATTCAGATTTCTCATGTTTATGTGTGTGTATTCAGGTCTATACAATTTTATGACTTGTATAGGTTCCTGTGTTGAACACAACTAGTCAAGATACTGAACAGTTCCAATATCTCAAGGATCCCACCGGGTACCATCTGGTACCCTTTTGTAACTGCATCCATCTTCATCCTGTGCCTCTGCCCCCTTAACCTGGCAACCACTCTGTCCTCCATTTCTAAAATTTTGTAATCCCCCCCTTTTTTTATTAATTTAATTTTGTTACAGGTGTTTCTCTTTTTTCCCCCATTAGCACCCTCCTCCCCCCCCCCCCCCAGTATTGTTGTCTTTGTCCACTGATTATGTATATATACATCTAAGTTCTTTGGTTTATCACTTTCCACCCCCTTCCTCTGTGGTTTGTGAGTCTGATCCCTACTCCTATGACTCTGGGTCTGTTTTGTTCATCGGCTTATTTTGTTCATTATATTTCACAAATAAGTGAGGTCATGTGATATTTGTCTTTCTCTGTTTGGCTTATTTCACTTAGCATAATACTCTCCAGGTCCCTCCATGTCATCTCAAAGGATAAGAGATCTTTCAAAATTTTGTCATTTTAAAATACTATATAAATTGAACCATGTGTTATGTAATCTTTGGAGCTTGCTTTTTAAAAAACATTAATATCTTTCTATAGCTGCATAGTATTCCATTTTGGTGGCATTCTTTATAATTTATCTAATCTACATTAATGAGCACTTATGTAAGTCTTGCTATTGCAGAAATGCAAGTAGTGAATATCTTCTCTATGTGCATGAAAAATCTACAACAAAAAGTGTAGCCATGAAATTAAGGAGCCAACGTATTAGTGACTTTTTGATAGGTATTGATAGGTATTTACAAATTTTTTCTCAGAAGAAGGTGTTACCAGTGCACAGTTAAAATAAACTTGTATAACAATACCAATTTTCTCCATAGTGCCACCTACATAGTGTACCATAGAACATTTTGATCCTTAATGGGGTTTTTTTGCCCATTTTGCTTATTTAGTAATCATGTTTTATAGTTGCAGGTGTTATATTTGGGCAAAATGTAGATTAGTTCTCATGACTTGAATATTGTAGGGGAAAATTTCATTGTAAGAAATAACACTGGAGCTAAAATATTTGTATGATATTTTCAAGTCTATTATTGGAAATGTTTAATAATCAGTGATATTTCAGTATAGCCAAAACTTTGGAAGTGAGCCTGTAATACTTAGTGATGAAGTTTAGACTATAAGAAATCATTGTGGCCCTGGCTGGGTAGCTAAATTGGTTGGAGTGTCATCCTATATACCAAAAGGTTTGATCCCTAGTTAGGGTGCGTATGGGAGGCAACTGATCAATGTTTCTCACATCGATGTTTCTCTCTCTCTCTCTCTCTCGCTCTCTCTCTCTCTCTCTCTCTCTCTTCCTCTCCCTTTCTCCCTCTTTCTCTCCCTAAAATCAATAAACAGCCTTGCTGGTATGGCTCAGTTGGTTGTGCATCATCCCATGCACCAAGAGGTCACTGGTTCTATTCCCAGTCAGGGCACATGCCCAGGTTGTGGGCTCGATCCCCAGTGAGGGGCATGCAGAAGGCAGCTGATTGATGTTTCTGTCTGATTGATGTTTCTATTTCTTTTCCCACTCCCTTTCTCTCTGTCTAAAATCAATAAAAACATATCTAAAAAATAAAATAAAATCAATAAACATATCCTTGGGTGAGGATTAAAACAAATGTTATTGTGTAGGGGACTACATCAAACTAAAAAGTTTTTGCATGGCAAAAGAAACCATCAACAAAATGAAAAAAGAACCTACTGAATGGGAGAAGAGATGATACATCAGTTAAGGGGTCATTTCCAAAATTTATAAAGAACTCAAACAACTTAACACCAAAAACAAAACAAAGAAACAGTTACTATGTATAACAATGTTTTTAAAGAGGCTCATTCCCAAGCATGAGTATGGTTTTATCAAGCTTTTAAAATTGTTTTTAAATCAATACAAGTCGACTTAATTGAAATAAAAGTTAGGAAAGAAATGATATTTATTTCAGACCCCATTTTGAGAATGCTGGTTCTTTCAGTAGTAGTTAACCAACTGAAAGGAATCTAGGGAAGTGGGATGGGAAAAGAGATTTTTCCCTCAGCAAATCAGTAATTTCTGAGCTTAGCATTTTTATTAATCAGTTTGACATTGCCTAGGAACATAACTGTGTTTGATTTTATAGCAGTTCTAACAATGTTTTACTAGCTGTGAACAGAAATATATTACTTTAGGAATTAGATACTAAATATGTCTAGAATTAGCTTAAGAGGTTTGGTAAACTTTCAACAATATAGACGTTTTAAATGTCTTTAAGGTGCTTTGCTGAGTGTAAGCACTCAGCAAATAATGAGGTAATGAAACTGATGGATTCTAGCAGCACATAAATATCCTGAATGGAGAGAATGTGAGTGTCTATTTATGGATCGGGTATTTTGTGTTTTAATTAGATTGACCCCATATGTACACAGGACCCTGCCTTTTAAAATCAAATAACTGAGCCCTGACTGGTTTGGCTCAGTGGTTGGAGCATTGGTCCGTGGACCAAGGGGTTTGATTTCCAGTCAAGGGCATGTGCCTGGGTTGCAGGTTTGATCCCTGGTTCCAGTGGGGGAAGTGCAAGAGGCAACCAATCGCTGTGTCTCTCACATCGATGTTTCTCTCTCTCTCTCTCTCCCTCTCTCCCTTCCACTCTATCTAAAGAGCAATGGAAAAATATTCTCAGGTGAGGATAAATAAATAAATAAATACGACCTTTCACTGTTAATGAAAAGTTAGAACAGCAAATTAACTTACTCATATTTAGCTCTTTTGTTACTGTTTGTATTTTGTAAGAAGCCAGGTCAAAAATATTAGAATCATTTTCTCTTTAATCCAATTTAATATTTTGCTTATCCAAAATAACATGGCATGACTTCATTGCTATTCTAATTTGCTACTACAGAAGGATTAGGGTTTATTAAAATAAAATTGTGGAGGGGTGACCTTTACAAAGTAATATGTATGTAGTACTTCAGAGTGAAACCTGGATTTAAAAAATAATAAATAATTGTGAAAGAAACAAAACCTTCAGACTCCTTTTATTTTTTTGGTATTGGGATTGGTTTTCTACCATAGAGCTTCCGAGCTACTCATGTATTATGTTTTGTGGGTTGTTATAAAGCCTATCTCGAAAGTATCATCCTAAGTGAAACAAGCCAAACAGAGAAAGACAAGTTTCATATGATCTCACTTATTTGTGGAATATAATGAACATAACAGTCTGAGGAATGGGGTAGCCCCAGAAACGCGGAAGTGGGGTACAGACTGACAATCCCCTAAAGAGGGGGGAGGTGGGGGAGGAATGAACCACAGAACTTATATGCATGTATGCATGAACAGTGGACATGGACAACAAACTGGGGAAAGGGCAGGGAAGGAAGGGGAGGGGGAATCAGTGGGGGAAAAAGGAGAAACATCTGTAACAAAAATTAATTAATAAAAAAATAAATAAATAAAGCCTATCTCCTCCAAATCCATATGCCTGAAAGGACCACCATTAAATTTCCTCAACAGATTATCTTGATCATTCTGCTTCCTAGAACTCTGCTGTTCAGTGTGGTAACCAGTAGTCACATATGTCTAAGTTTAAATTAATTTACATAAAAATAAAAAATACAATTCTTCTGTTGCAGTGGCGAGTGGCTACCATATTTTGACAGCTCAGATAGAGAAGATTTCCATCATTGTAGAAAGTTCTTTGGTGTGGCATTGCTGTAGATTTAGAGTGGGGATGGCAGTAGGAGAGCCTTGATTCTTTGCTGGCTTCACAAATTGTTCTTAGATGTAAATGAGGGACGCTAACACTAGTTCCTAAAAAGATAACGTATTCATTAGATGTTTTTCTTATTCTTGTTATTGCTTTTTTTATGATTTGAGGCCACTGAACAGCTTCATTGCCAGACAACAAAGAAATATATACTTGTTATGTGAGGGTTTTCAGCTTTTCTTTTTCATTGTTGTTTTCTCCCCACAGCTGCTGGGCATGCTGTGTGCATGCATCGTATTGTGCAGAAGGAGTAGAGATCCTGCTTATGAGCTCCTCATCACCGGTGGAACCTATGCATAGTAGAAAACTCAAGCCTGAACTCTTTAGTCTTGTTCTGATTTGGAAGGTGAATTGAATAGTTCTACTGCTGTTGGCCTCCTGAGTTCATTTCATTGAAGCACACATGTCAGACAGAGTAGCGTGGTTCTTTATGTGCCCACTTACTTGCCTACCCACCTATGACTTTTTGTTTCCCCTGTTCTAGCTGACTCTCTGCATCCGTAAGTTTTTAAGGATGGTGGTGTATGTTCTAATTTCAGAACCATTTGCAAGTTGAGTAGTGTGATAGAATTAAAGGAGGATGTAGACTGCTTCTGTTACCTCATGCAGCAATGGGACTGTTGCTGAAATACTACTGGGTCCTGTCAGGCTTCATAATGGACAACTCTTGGCCAAAGGATTTTTGGGGCAAGGGGAATTAACAACAGATGGTGCCCCTCATCAGTGTCATTTTAAGAATTATGTACCATAGTCTAATAAGACAGCAATTATACAAAATGACTGAAATAGATTTTAGAATCATACAATGTGTACCTTGGTTCATCTTCAAAATCAGACTGATCTTTGAAAGTAGAGGTTTTTAATCAAGGCTGGTTTTATAGGACGAGTATAATATATGCATTACTGTTTTAAAATAATTAGTGTGTGTGTGTGTATGTGTTTGTATGATTGATCCCATTCATTGTAAAGTCTAAATTTGTTAGAAATAATGTACTCATGTAGACTAGCAAAATAGTATATAGATGTGATCTCTGTTGTAAATAGAAATATCTAATTAAATAAACTCTGTATTACCCCTTAACATATAGTTTTTAATTATTTGTGGGTGCTTCAATGGTTTATATGTTCGTGCCATCTATAGTTCATCATGAATTAGATGTGCTTTAATTATATCTCTTGCCAAATTCTAAAGGCTTTGGTATTCAAAACCCACAGATGCTTTCAGTCCCACATATCCCAGAAATATGGAGAATCTACTTGTGCATGGTGCTGGGGGTACATTGATGATGCCGTCCTTGCCTTCAAGGCATGTGAATTGAGTCCTAGGATAGAGACATACACAAAAAGCAGATAATTTCCATACAGTGCTGTGATTGTAGTGACAAAAGAATGGAAACCTAAAGGAGATACCCAGAAAGGTCAGGGGCCACTTTGTAGAGAAGAGGCCTAAGCTCAGCAGCTGGACAGGCTTTGTGGGAGAGGGTACCAGGGGTATGATGTGGGATGGAGTATGCCTGTGTGCCTGGAGCTTAAAATACAAGGCGAGGAAAAGAAGTTGAAGTGGCAAAGCCTGGGTCCTCTAGGGTCTTACATGACATCCTGTGGAGAATCAGACTTTACTTATGGGTAGAGGCAGCCATGTGTGATATGAGTGGACCTGTTTTAGAGATCCCTGTGTCTGTGGTAGGGAGGACGGATTGGAGGGGTCATGGCTTCAGTGAGGTGGATTGGGTGGTTCAGGAGAGAGCTGAAGAGCATGGAGTAGGGCACTATTGGGGGAGCTAGTTAGGGGCTGGGTTTGGGGAATTTGGTGGGAGAGGTGGTAGAATTTTATCATTGGTTGGATGTGGGACAGAGTGAAAGGGCAGGCAGAAAGGTATCTAGGATGAGTCCTAGGTTTTTGGTTCAGCCAGCTGAGGACACAGAATTAGTCACAGAGATATGGAACAAATAAGGACCACATCTAGAGGCATGAGTTCACGTTCAGTTTGGACCTGTCAGTTTTGAGATACTGGAATATCATGCAAGTCTGTCCTGTTTGAAAATGGAGAAGATGTGAGAAAGGAGAGGAGTAAAAACTAACTCCTGTTCAGAGTGGAAGTTAATCAAAACTTTCATGATATCAGAGAACTATAGAAGATTTGATATGCTCCACAGACCCATCCCACCACTTGTACAATGGGTTAAGATGTTTTGCTTGTCCTCATTATCTTTCACAACCACCTTTCCCACCCAGCCCTGTCTCTCCCTCTCTCCCCTTCTGGTTTTTAATATGTACCATTCCATGGCTACCTTGTCAGGGTGGAGCCAAGGTGAGCAATATCTGGACTGATATTGATTTCCCTCAGTAATTTCTGCATGACAGAACTGAGCCTCTGGAGCAGGAAAGTTCATTGGGAAAAGGTGTCAATTGCTAGCTTACTCCTTGAACTTGTCCAGGAGACGAATTCCATACATCCCCCCTTCATTGATTCCCCTCTGCTTGTCTGGTGAAAGAGCAGCTTCCTCCTTTGTGCTCTGAAAGTTGGACCCAAATTGACCCATGTTATCAGTGAAGCCAAAACAAATGGGAGATGGTTACTTTGGGGCCTGTCAAATCATTCTAGTTTCTTCCAGCTTTAAGTTGTACATAATTCCTAACATAGTCCTGGAAATCATTTTCCTGTGTCTAGGAACCACTGAATGGGGAATCTATCCATGTTGGCCAGAGCCATACAAATTCAACTTCTACCTGCTTAATGTCTCCAGAGTCTGCCATACCACACAGAATCTGTATTACCCTGACACCCTATCCCCTGGTGCTTATTCTTCAGAGGGCAGAAGAGCCATTTCGTATGTTTGAATGTAATGATTTAGCTCTCCCACTGTGCCAGTGTTTCCCACCCTTGGAATCATCTGGGAAACTTTGGGAATTGCAGAAATCTGGGTACTTCCAGAACACAGCGAAGGCTGAGAACCACTGCCATATCCTATTGCCTTTTTCTTTGGAAATAACTTCAAACTTACAGAAAAGTTGTAAGAATAAGAATTGCACATATAATATTCTTTTCTTAGGTTCACCTATTAACATTTTGCCCTGTTTGAATTTGTGATTTGTGATCTTGCACGTTCTCTGTCTCTCTTTGCACATACCTCATGGCACTTTATCCTTAATATTTCAGTGGGTATTCCCTAAAAGTAGTCTCTGACAACGACAGTACAGTTATCAAATTTAGATTTAACACTAATACAGTACTTTACCATTTGTATTCCCATTGATCTCATAAAGTCTTTTATAGCATTATTTTTGCCTTCAAGTCTGGATTCAGTCTATGAATTAGTTGCCATGTCTCTTTGTTCTTCTTTAATCTAAAGCAGTTCCATAGTTTTGTCCCTTATGACATAGACTAGTGATTTTCAACCTTTTTCATCTCATGGCACACATAAACTAATTCCTAAAATTCTGTGGCACACCAAAAAATATTTTTTTTGCTGATCTGACAAAATAAAAATAGGTATAATTTGGATTCATCTGTACCAGGTGGCTATTGTGTTGGCTATTGTCATTTTTTCATTTGACAATTAAGGGAAAAGAGTCAGATATTGCATGTTTTAAAATTTTTTGCAGCACACTGGTTGAAAATTGCTGACTTGGGAAGAACACAGTCCCTTCTTTTAAATGATACTTATTTGGGGCTTATCTCCTATAATTGAATTAGATTAGGTTTTGCATTCCAGGTGGCTGGAATACTGCCTGTGTTCTGTCCTCTTGGGACAGGCATTACATCAGGGGGTTACAATGTCATCTGCCCTTCATTATGATGTTCATCAATGGTATATCATTTAGGGTCCAGTGAGGGGAAAATGTACACAGGAAAAATTTAATGTAAGTAGTTAACTCTGAAAGATTTGTTAGCTACTCAAAGGGGTAAATAAAACCCAAAACCTCTAAATCAGCTTAGTAGAAAACAGCTACCATCCTGTGAGTTACGGGAAGAGAGGGCTAATAAGGAACTTAGAAACTCAGAAGGAACTTAGAAACTTAAGCCCTGCAAGACTTTAGTCAGACTTTGGAAGAGTGGCATGGAACATCTGCCTGCCGTGTGCTGCAGACTAAACTCACTGGAGGTGTCCTCCACCGAGCTTTGAGAGCAGAGAGCCTTGCTGTAGAGAATGCTGTGGGGACCCATGCCTGACCAAGACACAGATGGTCTTCTCCAGCCTTCCCATCCCTATTAGAGGCCCCTGTTGACCAGCTGGCAAAGAAGATATGGAGTTTGCAGAATCCCAGCTTCATTCATTGTGGCAAGGAAGGGAAAGGAAGTGTGAGTTTGGAGCTAGGAGGCAACAAATTAATACTTGGTACCCCTGGTCTTGGTGTTTTCCACCTCTTCCGTGGCTAGTTACTATTTTCTCCCAGCTCATAAACAATCTCTGAAGACATACTGTAAGACCATATAAATATCCTATTCCTCACCAAACTTCTCCCGATATTTAACAAATACTACAGATCCTGGCTTCATTCAATCTTTACTGGGATGATTGCTGTTTTAGATTCCTTTTTTAGTGTGATGATTGTAAAATAATTTTTCTCATTTATTAGTTTGTCCTCCCTCCCTTCTCACATAGTGATTTATTTGTATGTGTCTATATTCATTATGGACTGATGGATTCCTATTTTTTCAATTATAATTATATAATTTTCAATATATAATTTTTCAATTATAATTCACTATTGTCATTATTTTTGTTTGTTTTTGGTTCTGAGAGTCAGATTTGGCCAGTGAGAGCCCCTCAAGTTGCTTCTTGTGTTCCAACCATTTTTTAAAAAAAACATTTATGTAATTTTTGATATAACAAGATGTTTCAGGCTCATTGTACCTACCATGCCCCAGTCCTGGAATTAGTGTTTCTCTGAGGAGCCCTGGTCCCTTGTACTACCTGTGCTTATTGCTACTATAATGTCTTTGCTTCTCATCTATCAGAGCTTGTTTTACTGTCCTTAAAAGTTGTTTATAATTTTTTTAATAAGAGTAATAGTAGTTTTAAAAAATGTAAACTCTACAGATATCTATAAAGAAAAATGTACCCACAGGAAAGCAAGTTTAGATGTAGTTTGTGTCCTTCCAGACTACAGTTGACCACTGAATGACACTGGTTTGAACTTACCAGTCCATTTATATGCAAATTATTATTATTTCAATATATGTACAGTCAGCTTTCTTTATCTCTTGGTTTCACATCTGCAGATTCAAACAACTGGGATCAAAAGTGGTATTTTCGATCTGAGGTGGGATTCTGCAGATGCAGAGGGCTGACTGTATGCATTGTTTTATACCATTTTATAGAAGGGACTTATCCATGGATTTTGGTATACACAGGGGTTCCTGGAACCAATCTTCTATAGATATCAAGGGACTATAGTTAAGTTTTAGGGGAGTCAAAAGTTATACATGGATTTTCCACTGTGGATGTTTAGGGTTGGTGCTCATTAACACCCCTGTTGTTCAAGGGTCAACTGTATTTTTTCTACATATACAAGAACAGATTTGTGGTGGTTATGGTTTTGCTTTACTATTATCTAAATTCTGTTTTACAAGGTTCACTTTTTTCTTCACAACATAGTATGGTAAGTATGGTACTATATTTGTCGGATTGTAGAATCTGTCATTCCTTTTTGTTAGCTGGATGGATATGTGTGTGTGTGTGTGTGTGTGTGTATTTATATACATATTTCTTTAAAATATGTCTATTGATTTTTTAGAGCGAGCAGAAGGGAGAGAGAGATAAAAATATTAATGTGAGAGAGAAACATTGATTGGCTGCCTCCTGCATGCCTGCCACTGGGGATTGAGCCCACAACTCAGGCATGTGCCCCCACTGGGAATCGAACCAAGACCTCTCAGTCCGTGGGACGATGCTCAATCCACTGAGCCACACCAGCCAGGCTAGATGGATATATTAATATCATGATTAGCCAATGTCTAACGGATGATCATTCAGGTTGATTCCAGCTTCACTATACTATCAGGCATTTAAAAATTTGATAACTTTTATGTTGAGGTGAAATTCACATAGCATAAAATTAACCATTTTAAAGTGAACAATTCAGCGACATTTAGTACATTCACAATGTTGTGCAACTACCCTCTCTAGTTTCAGTTTGCACAGGGGTTTATTGATCTCATTATACTGATGATGAAACTGAGGTCCAGAGAAATTATGACTTTTCTGAGACCACACAAAGAAGCATGAATGTGGATTCAGATCCTGATGTTCTGACTTCAGAGGCCTTGCTTTCCCCTGCTCCATTCTGTCTTTGAGCAGCCCTCTGTCAGGAAGAGGGCTTCGATTATTTATGCACCCAGTTACAGAGGCCAGCTTCCCCTTTATCTGGCACTATCTCCTCTGTTGGGAACACTGTCCATACGATTGGTTCCCAGCAGTTGAGGTTGTGACCAGGTACACAGAGAATGGAGAAAGCTGTAGAGGCAGTGAATCTGACTTAGATTCCTGTGTGTGTGTGTGTGTTTCCCTGGTATAAATTGTGGCCCAAGAGTTACTTTCAGTTCTATTCTTTGGTTGCCTGAATGGATCACAGGCTGTTTTATGTAATACTCATTACCCATCATCCCCTAGACACTACTGGCACCTGTCAGAGATGATGATAAATATCTAGGCCAAAGTTTCTAAAAACATTTTTGCAGTCGAATGGAATACTCAGTCAAGATGACAAGGTATTTTCAAGAAATAAATAAAGCACCAATACCTAACTTTCTCTTCTTTTCTTTCCTCTTGGCTGCACATACATGAACTGACTCTGATGGCCAGTCTACTTGGCTGCCAGCCTTTTCTGAGTTCCTTGAAGGCACCCCTTTATCTTAGCACTCCACACGATCAAAGACAGTGTCAGTCACACAGATGTCATCAAGAAACCTTGATTTAATTACTTCTGGGGCAACATTTCTGATCCAGGCACAGAATTTCCATAGCCAGGCCTTTATTCACTGATTTACAGTGATACCTCGGTTCTCGAACATAATTCGTTCCAGGAGGACGGTCGAGAACCAAATTGTTCGAGAACCGAAGCAATGAAACCCAATAGGAAATAATGGAAATTAATTTGTTCCAAGCCCCAGAAAATGCCTATTTACTGGCCTAATTTGTATATAATATGTAGAAAAACATAAGTCTCAACAAGAAATAAAAGTGTACAGTATGTCTAAGGGTTAAATTCAGTGTAAAGCGTGACTCTCTCCACAAAGCGTGACTCTCTCTCTGCACTCACACTGATGATGCAAGCAAGGCGCGCTGGGCCGAATGAACGCCATTCGGCTCAACTCGGCTCATCTCGGAAGTTCGAGTTCCAAATATTTGTTCGGATTCCAAGACAAAAGTTTCTCGAATCTCCTGGTCGAATACCGATTTGGTCGAGAACCGAGGCGTTTGAGAACCGAGGTATCACTGTATTTCTCTCCAGGGAGATAAAAGACCAAGCATTAGATAATATTTTTGTCCAAATATCCCTATGTATAAACCTTAGACGGGTCAGGGACAGGTGTGGACATTTGGACAGTTCTCTCATAGGATGTGCTTTATGAGGAAAAATGATATTTCAGGAAGGATTTAAGCCTCAGTATGATATTTTGTTTCAGAGGCCCAAAGCCTTTTCCTATGCTGTCTGCCACACACCCTCTGGTAGAAGCTGTGGTAGGTGACACTGGCAGAGGACTAATCTGGTCCACAGCTCCAGAGTCTTGCTTCCAGGATCCTACCATGGTGCTGCCTTGTGCCTTTTCACCTCTGCCTGGCCTCAGCCTGGATGCTTTGTAGACTTGTGAGGTGCCTACATACCTGAGACTGGGGTGAGATGCCACTACCAAAGGCACTTTCCCTCCTGAAAGAAGAAAGCCCGCCCCCTCCTGTACCAGGTGTCATGTTTACTTAATCACACCCACTTCTTTGCTCAAGTGATGAAGATGAGGGCACAAAGATGGACAGCTGCTGTAAACTCAAGAGTAACCTCCTTTACCAGCCCCCTCCTTGCCTTCTTCCTAGGTAAGAGCTTGGTCAAAGGCCTCATTTTTGCCCCTGTGGCATCTGAAACTTGCCTGGACATGTGAAATGATCCTATGTAAGGCATCAGGTAGATGGCCATCCAGGCAAAGCCAGGACCAGTGGGAAGCCACAGGTCCACTTCAGGCTTCCATGGGTGTCATGAGATCCTGTCACCAGAGGTGTTGAAGTCAACTGGGGTGCCCAGTGCCCAGTCTTCAGGAGTGACAGTGTGGGCATCGTGCAGTAGGTCAGACTAGTTCTTTCAGAGTCTCTTCTAATTCTAAATCCTAGGGAGTTCTAGTGATGACACTCTCTCCTTTCTCTGTTACATACATGAACCCTCTCCCTACCCTATGTGGGGTTACCAGAAACAGGCAGGAGTCAAAAGGAACCCCTTTCCTCTCTTGGAACAGCTTCCCTGTTTCCTTGGCTTATCTCAGGTCACCTATTTCAGAAGCCTCATGACTGCTCTATACATCCTGTATTATCATTAACTTTCTGGGTTGTTTGATCCTGTCCACCAGGTCAAGAGCTCCTTGAATAAAGCAAGAGACGGCGACTTTATTCATCTTGCTCTTATAGGGGTCAGGCCACAAAGGATTATGAATGAACAAGCAAAATAATCCACAGTCCTGGAGAAAGATGGTCTACAGGGGACAATAACATTCTCAAGAGTGCCTTTCAAGGTGTGTCCAGTGGAGGAGAACCATGTGCCACCCTACTCCCTACAGTCTCTCTGGCCCTGAGTTGGGGTGGGCTGCTGGCTTGTTGTGCTGGCAAGGTATTGGAGCTCTCACAGGTGAATGTGGGGGAGGCCCAGAACTAAGGATCTACCAATTCTCATGGGAACTCTCCCCACACCCATTCCCAAAGCTTCTGGCATGGATGGAGCCCACCATGACTGGAGCAGAGTTTTGGAAGGTCTTCGCCAACAGTAGAAGTTATGTTTGGGGGCCTGGGTCCAAAGAAAAGCCTGAGAGCATAAAGAACCATGGCCACCTCTGTGCCCTGGTTCAGCCTACACAGGCTCTGAACCCCTGCCTGGGCAGGATTTGCCATGTTTGAGAAGGAGCAACACAGGCAGCAGTGGCTTCCCTGTCCTCCAGCTGGGTCAGGCAGACTGTGAGGATTACTTTACCTATAAACCTCTAAGCCTGCCTTCCTTGATTCCCCACCATGGCTCCTCTACCTCCAGTGGGCCCGTCTACTGTTTCCTGCCTCAAAATGAGCTTGGCTTATCCCTAGAATGTTTCAGGCATTCCTGCCTCCTCCTTGTGCTCACACACCTCCTGGCCCTGATGGTCTTCTCTTCCTTGTGTCTTATCTGTTATTGTCCATCAGAGGCCCTGCTCCAATCCCTCTGCCCTGAGGAAGCCTGGTTCCCCCATCCCAGCTCTCCTGAGCCCCTTCTTGCTCCTCCTTCCTCCTGACGCCCATGGCCTTCTCCCGTTTGCCTGCTGTGAATGTGTCTCTGGCAGTCTGGGAGTTTCCAGGGACTGGAAGTGGGCAACTCTGTTCTCCCAGACATCTTCCCTCAGTTCTTTGCTTCCTCTGAATTGAACATTTGGACACAGGGCGGGAGTAAGAGAGAAAGGGACACCCACAGACCAAGGAGGAAGAATGTACATACTCCTTTATTCCCTCTAGAAGAAACTGTTGTGGGTACAACCAGCAGTCATGGGTTGGGGGTCTGGCTTGGTGCTGGGGCTCTGGACTTGCAGTGATGGAGACACTACCGGCCCCACAGATAGGGTAGGTTCAGGTGAGGGCTGTTGCTCCTTTCTCAGAGCTTCTCCAGATAGGAACCAGGGACAAAGCCACGCTGCCCATTTCGTTCCACTGTCCACCAGCCATCCTCCCCTTCCAAGATAACCTCCAGGATGTCCCCCGCAGAGATGTCCAGCTCATCAGAATTCTTGGCAACAGAATGAAAATGCATCAAGCTGGAGGGGCCTACAAGGAGGGCCTGGTTGGGCAACCCCCCCACTCCAAGCCATAAATTTGAGCTTGTCTCTCAAGTGAGCTGAGTCAGCTATGTCCATCCTCCTGGGGCTGCAGGACAAGGCCTCTCTCTGGGCTGGGGCAGCCCTTGGACAGATGGGGTGTGAGATATGGGATTTGGCCTCCTGTCTGCCCCATCCCCCTGGTTTGTCATTGTAGACCTCCCACAAAACGAGGCTTCTTCCATGCTTCACTCCCTGCTGTCCCATTTTTTCTGCTCTAGGCACACAGTGACCTTAACAAGTCAGGGGCCAAGTGTGCTCACCATGGCCATGCCCAAAGGGTACTTTCACTCCAGGCTCACCTCACACAACCTCAGCTCTGCTGGTGAGCTCCCTTGAGCTTCCTCAGCTGTGCTAGCCCCTGTCACAAACACACAATACTTCTTCTGACCCTTCTCCCCTGCCAAGGACTGGGCTTTGGGAATCACTGCAATCTGCCATGCATCCCACCCAGCCCTGAGTGGGTGCTTAGCCTTAGTCCAGGTGGATATGGGTTCTGGCTCTGTACCCCTCACCCCAAAGCAGGGAGCAGTTGGGGCTTTAAGGGGATCTCAGAACAGCTGCCCGGTGACTCCTTGACCCAACCTTTCCCCATGGACCACAGAAAACCAAACCCAGCACAGCTGAGGAACTTATTCTGGCCATATATTGTTTTTGGCACCCACGGCCATAGATAACAGAGCCCTTGACCCTTGGACCATTTTCTGCAGGTAGCCCAAGCTCTGTCACCCTGCCTGCATGTGTGCACATGGACACACACACAGGCACACACAATGTCTGTATCTGCCTGGGTACCAAGTGTGTGCATGTGAACAGATTCAGGGAGACATAGGCCCTACTACCCTATTCATCAACATTCACTCAGAAGATACAGAGCCCCTCCTAAGTGCTGGGTGCTATTCTAAGGGCACACACCCCAAGCACACTCACAGTGCATGTGGCTACATATAAACACACCCTTGGGCATCCCTGTGCCCTCCTGAGAAGAGGAGGGCAAGGGCCTCACCTGGGCTCTGTAGTCATAGACTGCCCTGTAGTCACGAGCTGGCAGGGTAGGGGGTTCCGGTGCCTCCTGTACTGCAACAGCGGCGTAGACACCCTCATTCTGATTGGAGGTGGGAGTCAGGGTGTCTGTGGAGGCTGAGAGCAGAGTGAGGCCTGGAGCTCACCCCTTTCATAGGACATTGGTCCCTGGAACACCCCCTGCATGGAGCATCCCCAGATATGGCTTAGCCTTTCTCCCCACAGCAGTTGGAGGGCCCATTTGTGCACGTAAAAGTCCTCTCCTTTATCCCAGTGTCGCAATTGTTTGGAGGCCCCCACATCACACCCAGTTACCTGCAGAGGTTGCCAACAGTGTGGTCTTGGGACTTCCATGCAGCAGCCCAGAGAACCTGAGGACAGGGAAAAAATCAGATAGGTCCTGCAGGGGGAGGGGGGATGAAGCAGGGAGCCCTCAGAGCTCTAGTGTTGGGGCCACCTCCAGCCTCCAGGCACAGATGTGATTTACGAGGTGCTCCTCAGACATAAGGGTTCCTCAAAGTGTGGTCCCAGTGTCCTTTCCCCAGTAGCGCCCTCTCAGTACCTCACACTGTAACCTCTTCTCAGCACCTGGCCTCAGCGGGTCCTTGTTCCAGCCTCCTCCAATGGGCAATCAGCCATTCCTCAAAGGCTGGCCCACTCACCCACTGGGACGATCACCTGCTTGGACCAGCCAGCCTGCCTCCCTGAGGCCCCACCCTGATCCAGTCCATCCAGCCACTCTCCAACCACAAGAAGTGGTACCCATTGTACATGTGAGTTCCAGTAGGCAGTGCTGGGCTAATTCACCCCTCTCCCTGTACCTGGCTCAGGCCTGGACTGAGCTGGAGCCATGAAGGTTCATTGAATTAAAAAAAAAAAAGCAAGAGACAGACACTGGGGTCACCTCATGAAGCCAACAATGCTAAATGCTAAATAAGTAAAGGCTGATGCTGCTTACCTGCCTCAGGAAAGGCTGCCTGGTTGAGTCAGGTCTTGAAAGACTTAGCTAACAGGCAGATACTGGGGTGAAAGGCATTGCTAGTGAATGGGAGAGGGGATGCAAAATTGCAGAGCAGAGAGTGGACAGGCAGAAGAGTTTGGGGACTGGAGGTGGAAGAGTCCAGTACAGCCCTCCACCCCCACCCCACACAAAGGGTTTGTGGAGCAATGGACTGGGAGTGGACACGCAACCCTGGCACACATGATAAGGCCTTTTGCTAACACAGGCTGTGCAGGTACAGCACCTATGGCACACTCCTGCCCCTTGGGCGGGGGGTGAGGGTTAAAGCCAGCACGGTGGTGGCTACGAAGAGCAGAGCTTATTGAGGTGGGTGTGTGCCCTGCCTCACTGTCCTGTTTCCCCAGAATTGTCTACATCTGCAACTCCAATTCCTCCCTTCACTCACTTCCCAGCCACTGCCCCCTGCTCCTCTCCACCCTGCCTGGTTTCTGGCTGTCCCAGACAGCAGCCCCTCCCATGCCCTCCCTCTCATCCACCCACTGGGACTTCTCTTTTATCTTCATGGGGAACTTCTTTATGTCCTTTCTTTTTTTATTTTTTATTGTAAATTACAGTTGACATACAATATTAGTTTCAGGTGTACAACATAGTGATTAGACATTTATATACCTTATGAAGTGATCACCCTGATAAGTCTAGTACCCATCTGACACCATACATAGTTATTACAACATTATTGCCTGTATTCCTTATGCTATGCTTTACATCTCTGGTGACTATTTTTATAATCGACAATTTGTGCTTCTTAATCCCTTCATCACTTTTATTCACCCTCTCAACCCCCTTCCCATCAGGCAACCATCAATTTGTTCTCTGTATCTATGAGTTTGTTTCTGTTTTATTTGTTCCTTTATTTTTTTCTTCAGAGTCCACATATAAGTGATACCAAAAACCATATGGTATTTGTCTTTCTCTGACTGACTTATTTCACTTAGCATATATCCTCTAGGTCCATTCATGTTGTTGCACATGACAAGATTTCATTCTTTTTTATGGCCAAGAAATATTCCGTTGTACGTATGTACTGCGTCTTCTTTATCCAGTCATCTATTGATAGGCACTTAGGTTGCCTCTATATTTTGACTATTGTAAACAATGTTGCAATGAACATAGGAGTGCATATATCTTTTCAAGTTAGTGTTTTGGATTTCTTCATATAAATACCCAGAAGTGGAATTCCTGGGCCTAATGGTAGTTCCATTTTTGAGGACATTACATACTGTTTTCCACAGTGGCTACACTGATCTGCATTCCCACCAACAGTGCACAAGGGTTCCCTTTTCTTCACATCCTCACCAGCACTTGTTTGTTGACTTCTTGATGACAGCCATTCTGACAGATGTGAGGTAATACCTCATGTGGTTTAAATTTGCATTTCCCTGATGATTAGTGATGTTGAGCATCTTTTCATATGTCTGTTAGCTATCTGTATGTGCTCTTTGGAGGAATGTCTATATATGTACACTGCCCGTTTTTTAATCAGATTGTATTTTTGATGTTGAGCTGTATGAGTTCTTTATATATTATGAATGTTAACCCCTTATCAGATGTGTCATTTACAAATATCTTCTCCCATTCAATAGGTTGTCTTTTCTTTTTGTTGATGGTTTATGGTATAAAAGCTTTTATGTTTGATGTTCTCACATTTGTTTATATTTGCTTTTGTTTCCCTTGCCTGAGGAGACATATTTTTGAAAAATATTGCTAAACCAATGTCAAAGAGTTTATTGCCTATGTTTTCTTTTGGGAGTTTTATTGTTTCAGGTCTTACATTTAAGTCTTTAATCTATTTTGAGTTTATTTTTGTATATGGTGTAAGAAAGTGGTCTGATTTCATTATTATTATTATTATTTGCATGGATTTGTCCAGTTTCCCCAACACCATTTATTGAATAGACTGTCTTTATCCCTTTACCTTTACTCTTGTCTCCATTGTCAGAGATTAATTGACCATAAAGGCATTGGTTGATTTCTGGGCTCTCTATTCATTGATCTATGTTGTCTGTTTTTATGCCAGTAACATGCTGTTTTGGTTACTATAGCCTTACAGTACAGAGTGTTATTCCATAATGTGATTTCTCCAACTTTGTTCTTCTTTTCCAATATTGCTGTGGCTCTTCGGTATCTTTTGTTATTCCATATGAATTTTTGGAATATTTGTTCTAGTTCAGTGAAAAATGCCCTTGGCATTTTCATAGGAATTGCATTGAATCTGTAGATTGCTTTGGATAGTATGGACATTTTAACAATATTAATTCTTCTTACCCATGAGCATGGTATATGCTTCTATTTATTTCTGTCTCCTTCAGTCTTTCTTCAGTGTCTTATAGTTTTATGAGTATAGATCTTTTACCTCCTTGGTTAGATTTATTCTTATATATTTTATTTGCAACTTTGTGTGGATTTTTCCTCTTAATTTTTTTTTTTTGCATTTATCTTCAGATAGAGTGGGAGGGAGAGAGAAGGGAGAGAGAGAGAGAAATATCGACGTGAGAGAGACACATGGACTGGTTGCCACCCACATGACCCCAACCGGAGCCAGGGACAAACTGCAACCGAGGTAGATGCCCTTAGCGGGAACTGAACCTGGGACTCTCTGGTCCGTGGGCCGACGCTCTAACCACTGAGCAATACTGGCCAGGGCCCTAATTTTTCTTTCATTATCGGTGTACAAAAAATGCAACTAATTTCTGAGTATTAATTTTGTATCCTGCTACTTTACTGAATTCATTTATTAGATCTAATAGTTTTTTAGTGAAATATTTAGGATTCTCTCTATATACTATCATGTCATCTGCAAATAATGACAGTTTTACTTCTTATTTTCTAATATGGGTGCATTTTATTTATATTTCTTGTTTGATTGCTGTGGCTAGGACTTCCAACACTATATTCAATAATAGTTGTGAGTGGACATCTTTGTCTTGTTTCCTTTCTTGAAGGTAAGCTCTTTCATCCAGTTGTTTAAATAACCACCTGTGATGGGATGCAGGTCCTCACGGGGGGGTGCCTGAGTCCCCCAAGATTTTGAAAACATCGTGAGAGTGTGAATCTCCTTTTTCTGGAGTCACTGCCTTGTCGAGATTCTCAGAGGAGTGTGCTATGCTCCTTTTTCTGAGCTATAATAGTTCTCATGAGCCTCTGCTTCCTGGAGACTTCCTGCAGTGAGGTTCTAGGGCCTCCTGAGGTCTTGGAAATGAGCAGTCCTCAGAGGGCTGGGAGCTCCATTGACATCCTTGCACCTCTACCACATTTCCCTCATCCAAAGGCAGGACCTTCTCTATGCAAGGTTGGATGGAGAGAGGAGGTCATGGGGGCCTCAGGGTGGGAGTGGGGCATAGATACCAGGTGAAACCCACAGATGCTCCTAGATGCCCACAGAGAGGGTATATGGGCCCCTCCAGGACCTGGATTCTGGTGGGCACTCCCTAAGCAGGCTAAGGTGCTCCCAATTGGCTGTCACCATCATCACCCAAGGCCTACAGCAGGAGGGTCTTTTGGTTCTGAGTCTGATTTCAACACTCATAGGCCCTGTACCTAGAGAAGATGAGTAATTTGTGCAGGTGACACCCTGAGGCGTGGCACTAGGATCCTACCACAGCTGGGCCAGGGAAGGGTTCCTGAGTAGCCTGGAGAATTTTCCAAGAGTACTGGCTGTAGGGCCTGCTCCTATGCCCCAATCCTACACCAGTGTGAGAGTGTCACCACTGCAGCAGGACAGTCTAGGTCACCAACCCAGGCTAGCAGCAGGGTTCAAGAGACAATGAAGTCAGCCAAGGGACTCCCTGCAGCTCTCAGCACTTACTAATGAATAAGTGGGATGTGATCATTTGTTTAATGCCTGGATCCCCTTGGGCTGAGGGTGTCATGAGGCCAGGTTGAGCCTATCTTGTCCCCAGAGAATGCCCAATACTTGAACACTGCACCAGGCACACAGTAGATGATTAATAAATACACATAGAACAGCCAGTTGCAGAAAGAGAGGCTCGACCTGCTTCCTAACCAATACCTCTCACCACACCCATCCCTGCCTATGCATTACAGTGGGTGTCTCACCTTTTTATCATGCCACATGAAGGTTGTATTCCAGGGCTACCAGATGATAGGGCCACTTCCCGGTCGTAGTAATTCTGGTAGGGCACTGGAGCTGCAGGTAACAAGCCTGTGAGGCCTGGGGTGGCCGAGGGCAGGACAGGAAGGACCTCTGCTATCTGATACCCCAACCTATCCCCATCCAGAGACCGAGACTGAGACCCTACTTTCCCATCCTGGCTCTGGCCTGCCCTTGTACTTGGGGAGTGGACCTCTCTCATTTCGATGAGAGACCCATTGTGGGCACCACCGAGACTGAATATTCAGGACTCATAATTTAGTGGGACCATCTGCTCATCTTCTGCCTCAAGGGACTGTACTGTCCTTGACCCCTCCCTGGGATCTGGGCACATCTCCTCCATCCAGAAGGGATCTGTGAGCCACTCCAGCCCTGACCTGGCAGTTGAGGCTCAGAGAACCAGGGCCAGGCTTCACAGGGACAGACAGGCCTAGACCCAGAGGTGGTGCTGCCTGTGGGGCTAGGCCTTACCTGGGGGCTCAGTGCCTGTGCTCTTGGCCTGGATGAAGCTGTTGATGTCGGCTTCTACACTGCACCCTTCCAGGGTCACCCGTACCTCCTCATAGAGCTGGAGGTGGGAAAGAACAGAGGATGAGGGGCCAGGTCTAGGTTCAATGCCCATCCTAATCAAACCCTGTTTTTCTATGACTCTGAACTCTAGCCAGGGGTTTCTGCCACACCAGCCTCCTCACAGGCCTTGTGTGCACAACTCAGTGTTTGTATTCAGGGTGTCCTGGGGTGTATCTGCCCCAGGCCTTCCTGAGGGGTCAGAGCCCTGGCCAACCAGGTTCCTGAGCACCTCCTATGCTTAAGATCCTATGCAAGGGACTTAACTCACTCCTGTCCTCTGCGGTAGACACTATTTTCCCCATTTTATAGATGAAGAAACTCAGAGTATTAAAGTGACTTACCCAGTATCACAGAGAAAGAATTCAGTGTAGCTCGGTTTTGTTTCAGTATGACAGGATCAAAAGCCCACCCTCTTTCCTCTGCCACAGGAGGCCACAGGTGGGTTCAAGTTATTTGGGTAGGGGGGAACCCAAAATCCCACAATCCATGGGCAGAGGGGTCAGGCAAAGAACAGCAGTGAGTGTCAGGGAGTCAGGGCTGCCTCAGGAGAGCTCATGTCTCTGAGGTTACGTTTACAGAGGACAGAGACCCTGGTGGAGAGGGAGTGCCCCCTCTCTGATGGGTAGGACCCACCCCAACCATCCAGCATATAGAGCTAGCTCAGTAAGGGAACCAGGACACTCAAGAGCTCCCTGTCCTTGAGGTACTGAGGGCAGAGGCTGAGACCTGAGGTGTTTGTTGACAGACTCAGATGGAGCTACACATGCTGTTGCCCAGAAGCTGTCCTCTTTACCTTCCTCCCCTACCAACTCACTCCATACCCCTACCCGCCTTTGGCTCCCCGACCTCATCATCCTTGACGCACTGCATGGAGAGCTGGTTGCAATGAACCCATAGGGCATTTCGGAGGATGGTCAGCCTGTCAAACTCTTGCAGCTGGAAGGCCTGGGGTGGGGGTAGGATAGGAGGGGTGAGATGAGAAGTGAGAAGGAAGCTGCATAGCCAGGCCAGGCTGGGCCCTACTCACAGCTCAGCTGGGGCTAACAAGCCAAGACCCCCTCTGCTGAAAGCCAAGTCTAAAGGAAAGACCCCACCTTCATATCTGTGCCAGCACCTCAGGCTTCTGGGAAGGAGGTTGAGTTCCTTGTGGGATTCCTCCCTCCACCCTCCTTCCAGGCCCCACCACACACTGGAAAGGCCCTAGGAGGACGTCATGAGAGGAGCACTCCTGAGGCCTATCTCCCAAGTCCTGTTCACCAGTGGGGCCCAGGGAAGCTATGGGTTTTGTCTGAGCTTCAGTTTTGGTTTTAAGAAAAAGGGGTGAAGAAGGCCTTTCTGAAACAAAGGGACCCAGGGCACAAAGCCAGGCAGTGAGCTCCCTGGGGACAGGGGCCCAGCAGGGAACTCGGAGGTGAGTGCATGAGTGACTAAATGAAGGAATGAGGCCTTCCCTTCATCCCACTGCCTTATTTTCCCTCGTGAAGTGGCTGGAGCAGGGGAGAACGTCCTTCCTATTTTGTAGCTGGGGAAACTAAGGCCCAGGGTCACTTACCTCACAGGTGGTTCGGTGCTCTTGTTCCCACTCGCCTCGTGCCTTCTCCAGTTGCTCAATGTTCTGCCTGTACACCCTCTCTAGAAGCACAGGGAAGCCAGCAGCCTAGATACCCACCTCTACCACTGAACCCTTTGCTCCTACAGGGCCCCTGCTCAGAGTGCCCTCTTTGCCAGAGAGACCCGCTGCGGCTTGCTGGTACCTCATCTGGACACTTGTCTGGGACACCCACTGTAGTACTGCTCATTTTGGGATGACTCTTAGCTCCCTGATGTGCTCTGAGTTGCCCAAGTCTGAAGTAGAGCCCATGTACCCAAAGTCAGAGTCTAGGCCTCTTACCACCCCTGGGTCTCACCCTCTCACTTTCCAGATGGGAAACTGAGGGCAGCACTGAAGGAGAGAAGAGGGGAATATTGTAGCTGTTGGGCCAGGGACCCAGCAGGCTTGGCTGGGATCACTGTCCCCAGAATTCTGGGGTTCCCAGCCATGGGAGCAGCTGGGTGCTGGGAGAGGCAGAGCGGAAGGGAGACCCTTCTCCAGAGAAGGGAGCAGGGTGAGCTTTCTGTCCTAAGAGGTATGCTGGAAAAGACAAGGGCATTGGGGGTTTTGGCATCAGGTGAAGGACAGAGGAGATAGGCCCAGAGAAGGCTGTGTGTGTGTGTGTGTGTGTGGGGAGAGAGAGAGAGAGAGAGAGAGAGAGAGAGAGAGAGAGAGAGAGAAGTGGGTCTGTTTGCTCTGATGATGGAATGGTGTCTGTGGAAGTCCTGGGCTCTAGAGCCAGATGACCTGGGTTGAAATGCAGTCACCACCACTTATTGACTTTGTGACTTTGAGCAAGCTACTTAACCTCTCTGTGCCTCAGTTTCCTCATCTGTTAAAAAGGGTGATAATGCCCTGGCTGGTTTGGCTCAGCGGTTAGAACGTCAGCCTGCGGTCCAGAGTCCCAGGTTTGGTTCCCGCTGGGGACATGTACCTCGGTTGTATTTTGTCCACAGCCTTGGTTGGGGTCGTGTTGTTGGCAACCAGTCAATGTGTTTCTCTCACATCGATGTTTCTCTCTCTCTCTCTTCCCACCTCTCTCTCTCCCTCTGAAGATGAATGCAAAAAATGTCCTCGGATGAGGATTAAAAAAAAAAAGAGGGTGATAATAATAGCAGTCACCTCACAGGATTGTTGTGCAGATTAGTTAAAACATACAAAGCACCAAGACTAGTCTTGGCAAATGATAGAACATGAATATTTTAATTTTACTTGCATAACTGTGGAAGTGAGAGTGAGGAGCTTATGATGCTGTGTACTCAGGTATGACTGTGTACATCCCCAGGGTAGGAAAATGTGCAGGGTGGGGAAGGTTGTCCAGTCCACCACCCAGGTCTGTGGAGGCAGGTGGCCCACATACCTGCCTCCATGGCTGAGTCCTTGCACTGCTTGGCTTTATTCTGGCTCTGAGGAGGCAAAAGGAAAGCAGTGCTGAGCCCCTGCCCTAGAGAGCACCGACCCCAACTTAGGGCTCCCAGACTCCCTGGTGACTCTGAAGTGCCTCTGTCATACCCCTCCCTGACCACCCAGCAGCCAACTGTGACCAAGTTCCATCATTTACTCTAGCTTTACCCCACAAAGGACCATAACAAAAAAGGTTCCAATAAAAGTAAATAAAAACAGAAACTTGCAGCCCATGCAGAAACACACCAGGACCTGAAGGGAGAAATGTAGACCAGGAGCCAGGACCTGAAGGTCCATGTGGCTGGTGCTGAACCTACTGGTTGGGACTTGGACTCTGGTACCCCACTTCCTGCCCCCAATTCACTCTCAGGCCCCTGCCCCTCTGGTCCTTAGCTTTCCTGTATGTGCAAGGGGCAAAAGGTGTTCTTGGGCCCTGGTAGCTCTGACACCCCCAACCTGACCCAGAGCCCAGAGCAGTCACAGACTTGGGCTCTGGATGACCTAGGTTTGGATCCTTTCTCTGTTGCTTTCTGGGTCTGAGACCTTGGACAAGTTACTCAGCATCACTGGGCCTTAGTTTCCTTTCTCTGACATGGGCCCACTGAGCCCCTCTCCAAGGGTTGTGTAAGGGTTAGCATTTGCTCTCATTGCCCTGTGAGCTCTGGGCCTGGGATTCAGAGGGCCTGCTCTGAGGAATGGGTCCTTGGGTGTAGCCTGGAGATGACAAAGGGGATCAAGCTGACTGTCACTTCATGCCCTGAGATTCTAGGAAACCCATTTCACAGACGGGAATATGAGGTTCAGAGAGGGGTGGGCAGCTAACATGTCCCAGGTGCCTGGTTGTGTCTACAGTACGCATTCCTTGCCTTACCTGCCCTGCCCCAGCCCTGGGTGATAGCATAGGGCCTCAGTGGCCTCACATACCTTTTCCACCTGCTTCTGTTGGCCATTGGTGCTAATACGCTCAAAGGTCTGCTCGGCATCATCTGCATCCCGGCACTTTTGTTCATATGTCTTCTTGGACTGGGGGTGTGGAAGGGTATGACATCGGGGTGGGGGGGCTCAGAGTGAGGCTATCTGAGCCCAGCCTCCCTTCTTCCTGTTGGGGGCTGTGGGTGGAACGGGGACTTCCTCACCAGGGACAGTGATCTGGAGGTCCAGATTGGAGCGGGGGAGAGAGGCTGTTCCCAGGCCCCTTCTCATTTGGAACATTGTAACCCTGCCCAAGGCCCTGGCTTTTTCAGATGAGAGGTCACATTAAACTACTAGCAAATCCCTGAAAATAGCATGCATCCTCATGATGCTAGCCTCTGCACATACTGTGCCCTCTTGTGGAGCCTTTTTCTTCTCACACAGTGTCCTGGGGAACACAACTAAGGAGTCCCTTCTCCCTTCACCCTTAGAGTCTACAGCTGACAGCATGGATCACCCTGTGGACTACTGTTTGGGACTGACCACCTGCCCATCAGTTAAGAGTCCCCCATGGGCAGGGTGTGGGCTGATCTGTGTGGGGCCTTGGCACTCAGTGCAGCCCTAAGCACATGCATGTTGCTGGATGAAGACCTGAGGCAAGCCCTGTCCTAGGTGCCCATCCCAGGTCTCCTGGGGTCCATACTTTGGGCTCCGCATCCCTCACGGCCCAAAAGCCTTGCACCCACCTCCATGGCCTTCTTGTAGAGTGACAGCTTGCTCTTCTGGACACGGTCCATGATGGCCTCATACTGCAGGGAACATGAGCCTTTTAGTTGGGGGGCTGTGGCCTTGGGACACTCCTCTAGGCCAAGACGATAGGGTTTCTCTGGTTTGAGGTACAGCATCCCCCTACCCCAACTCTGAAGGGGGTAGTTACAAGATGCCCTCCCTCTTCCACGGATTGTTCTTTCACAACTGCTGCTCAGAACAGAAAGCTAGAGAAGTCCAGGGCATGTGTATGCCCATTGTGTACTCTTATTGGCTGCAGACTCCATCCAGGACTTGGTCTCTAGCCAGAGAATATCCTATGTATGTGGGTGCATACACACACACACACACACACAGAGTCCTCACTCACCAGCCTCTGTACCCACTCACAGCTGTCATACATCATGTACATACATACATGCACACTAAGTGACACATGAGACACATGCAGAAGTACACATTAATAGGCCCCATTCTCCCACTGTTCCCACTGCACCCACTTATATAGCTCCCATAGACACCATGCACATGTTCACATAGAGAGGACGAAACAGCCTAGACAGAGATTGGGTATAAGCTATGAGAAGAATCAGAAATAAAATGACCCTCTTGTTTGGGTCTGGAGCTAATTTGTACCTGGGGTCAAAATAGGGCCCATGCCAGTGGGGAGACCTCAGACAAGCCACCTGGTCATAGTGAGACACATGCATATGCTCGTAGGCATGCACATGTGTGCCCACATTTTCCACACCCACACATGTACACACATGCACAGGCATGTGCACACACATGTCAAGGCAGGCTTCTCCCCACACTATATCACAGCTTTCAATTTGTAGAGGTGCTGGCTGATCTGGTTGGTTTTTGTAGGTTTGTTCAAAACAGGTATTGCAGACATACAGCACCTCTGGCCACAGGAAAGCTTAAAATAGTCAGCCTGGGGTCTCACTGTCACAGCAAGGGCTCTGCATGCTCCACAGGCAAGTCCCTATTCAGGGAGGGCACCTGCTGCAGCACTTCAAGGCTGGGCAGGCTTCCAGAGCTAGCTTTGGAGACCCACTGTCTGCTCAGGAACCCAAATTTAGAATCCTGAAAGCCTGTAACCATGGCTGGCCGGATGAGCAGACGGAGTGCAGCCACATTGAATTTTTGTGGTCATAGTCAGTAATTGGAGCCTGTGCCCTGTCTGTGAAGTCTGATGGAGGCCTGGTTCAGGGCTAGGTCCCCAAAGCTTAGGAAGTGGACATAAGTGTTCCATCCTGCAAGAAGGAAACTGAGGCACAGAGAGGAAAAGCAGCTTGTTTAGGACACCCAAGCCCAGCCTGGCCCTAGCAATGGGCTGGCACCTTCTTCTCCATCACAGCTCAGTTGTATGGACTTTTCCATTTTCAATTCTTTGGATATTTCACAAGAACCCTTCCTCTCCAAGTAAGAAGTGTTTCTGTGTGCTGGCGTCTTCCTGTCCAGAGCACCACCCTCATCACTAAGACCCTAGAGGCTGAGTGTGTGTCCTCACCTGTCCTCCCAGTGGGCCATATGCTCAGCCAATCAGTCTCAGGCTCGGTAGGGGGCTCTCGGACACAAAGGGGGCTCTGAGGTCACCAAGCCCACCTCCAAGCCCACCACTGCAGCTTCTCTGACACCATAGCCTTCAACCTCTGTTTGCACACCTCTTATGATGGAAGCCTCACTTCCTTTCCATGCAGTTCCTCCATCTAAGGACAGCCATGCCCTACACATGGGTGAGAAGAATCTTTGGATACTGAGGTAAGTGTGAAACCCCCTACTCCCTGCAGGCTCTATTTGCTCCCTCAGCCTTGGGCAGCTTTGCAGAGTGGCCAGTGACTGGCTCTAGGTCTGCCTTTCCCCTGAAAAAATAGCCTGGATTCTTGGGTTCAGGACCAGTTTCTGGTGACTCCCCAATGTAGTTTTCTCTTTTTGGATAACCCCAAGCTGTCACTGCCCCTCTACTGTCTGCTGCGTTAGGGTCAACAAGGCCCATATCTTCCACTCTTCCTGACATGAGACAGCTCAGGGAAGGACCCCAATGGGGGCTCCCAGGCTTGTGAGCTGAGCCCCTCCCTTTTCTTCAAATCACCCTCACCCCCAAACCTGGGTGCTGCCCCCATACTTAATGGGCTCCGTCAGAACTATTTATCTCCTACTATCTCCACAGTGAAGATGGCCACCTCTCACTTGGGGTCTTGGTAATAGGGGAGCACCCCAGCACCCGCCTCACCTTTTTCCTCTGCTCCTTCTGCCTGTCTCGGAACTCCTCAAGGCTGTGGAGCTCCTCACGCAGGGCCTGGGCCAGCTGTATGTGGGAGCTGCCTACGTGCTCCATTTCTGAGGGCAAGAGTATGGATGTTGGTCTCCCATATCAGACCAAATGGGTGTCAGCAACCCACACACTCACCCCACCTAGGCTGGCCTCTGTCATCCCAAATTCTCTGTTAGTCCCACAGGCCTGTGTGCAGCCTGAGCTTCTCTTCTGGCCAAAATTCATCCACCTCTGTGTTCCCAGAAGGTCTTGTCACCCTATAGCCTGGGATAGAAGACAGTTGGGACTTACGCTGCTTCAGGGAGTCAAAGGAGGCCCTCAGGGAACTGCAAAACAGAAAGACTAGGGTCAGGAGGAGGACAGTGCAGTGGAACCTGAAGTCCCCCCTGGCCCCAGAGACTTTATTTTGGCGGGAAGACTCTAGGTCACTCACTTACATACACTGACTTAGACTGAAAGGAGCTGGGATTTCTAGAAGGTAAAGTTTTTTCTTTGGAAATTATAAAGCAATCAAACCTTCCCACTATGGCAGGATGCTCCTGGCTTCTGCATGTCCTCAGGGCCCCTTCCCTCCATCCTCAGAGCTCTTCCCTTGGCTGGGGTAGGAGAAGGAAGGTTCAGACCTGGATTTAGGCAGGCGGCCTGGAGGATATTTTGGAGGAAGCTGGATGGGAGGCGTTAAGCAGGGGAGAGGTGGGAGAGGGGAGATATGCGGGGGCCTTAGGACAGGGAGAACAACATGTACAGGTGAGGACAGTGGGAGGCTATCCTGGCCCCTGGCTGGTGTGGCTGAGTGAGGGGATCCCAGGAAGGAAAATGAGTTAACTTTATGATGTGCTGAGCTTGGGTGCCTGAAAGAACCCAGCAGGAGGAGTCAAGAGGCAGCAGGGTGGGCAGCAGGGAGAGCAGAAAAAGAGGCTGGCACTGGGCATGGCAGGTAGGGGAAGGTGCCAGAGGGTAGGGCTGCCAGAGGGAGCAGATGAATACAGAACTCGGTTAAATTTGAGTTTAGATGAAATAACTAACACTGTTTGAGAATAAGGATTCTCCATTACTATTTGAACATATGTTTAAAAAGCATTTGTTGTTTATCTGAAATCCAGACTTAACTGGACGTTCTATATTTTATGTGTCAGCCCTGCAGAGAGGGCTCTTCCTCAGAACCATGAACTGAGTTGAGGCCTGAGCAAAGGTGTTGGCGCCCAGCCAGGAACCCAGTCCAGTCTGCTGATGGATAATGGGGCACCATGGAACTCTGGGTCAGAAACAGCTCTGGTGGGGCAGAGTGCCTTTCCCTGGCCCATTAGATCTCAGGGATGGGCCTCTCAGAGGGCTGAGTTCCCTGTTCTGTGCAGGAGAGAAGTGATTTGGAATTCCAGCATAGGAAACCAGCAGGACCCAAGAAGGGTCTCCTACTCTGCAATCCCATGTACAGACCCTGGAGCCAGATGGCCTGGGTTCAGTCCAGGCTCTACCACTCATTCTCTGTGTGACCCTGGGCAAGTTACTCACTCTCTCTGCATCTCAGTTCCCCTTTTGTAAAATGGGGATAATAATAGCACAAACAGGATGGTTGTGAGGATTAAATGAATTTATATGTACAGAGCACCTCTGTCGGGATCTGGTTGTTGTTGTGCAACCCTTTCCAAAGCCTACATCTGCACACTCCACCAATCCTGGGGGTTCCCGGGGCCCCTGGACCAGAACTCCAGTGTTCCACCTAAGAGATTGCCCACTCTCAGGGGTAAAATTCTCTGCCTGTGTTTGTAGCCTCTTAACCAAGGAGGCAAAATTTGCCATGGTTCCCCCCTCACCAGGATGCCTGAGTAGCCACTGTGAGTCAAGGCAGATAGGAAACTGAACACGATGAGGCTTGCTGAGGTCACACAGAGGCAACATCAACATGTTCTCTCACTGGATACATCCTTAGCCCAGCTGGCTCTCTGCAGTTTTCCGCCCCTCATAGTGTTTCTGAGGAGCAGTGCACCCATCTCTGATGGCCACATGGCCATATGGCTCCTGCCCAGGACAGCCTTGGGCTCCTGCCCTCTTGCCTGCATCTCCTAATAATATATACAAGGCAGGCTTTCAGGGGACTCCTTCCTTCCATTGGACAGTTAGGGAAACTGAGGCCAAGCAAAAGCAGCAACCTTGCAGGACCCAAAGGCTAAGAGGAGAACTGTGGGTGTCTAGTGGATTTCCCTCACCACCAGCAGCAGCATAATCTGGGAGTTTGTTAGAAGCGCAGGTTCTCAGGCTCTATCCCAGTCCTGAAGTAGAAACCCACAGTGGGGCCCAGCATACTGTGTTAAATTGCAGGTGCTGCTGATGTTCATTCAATTGTGAGAGCTGCTGGCTTAAATTATTGAATCCTCACAACTCTCTCCAGGGGAATGGCCTTAAACTCTGATCATATGGAGGATTTGGGGATAGTCTGAAGTCTTTCTCTGGCCCATGGGACCAGCAAAGATGGTTTCTTTTAGCTTTTCTATCATTCCCGGGTTTTTCCCCCTTGACATTTATAAAAACTGTTACCAAGACCTACTCAAGCTCTCCTCTTTTGTGTTTCCATTGCACGTCAAGGGTGGGGATCCATGCAGACCTCTACCCTCTGCTCTCAGTCACTGGTGTCCTTGTGTGTTGCCCCTTTTGACTTGGCTTTCAGGATGCTCAGCCTGAAATTGTGTGTTCAAACACAGCCTACATTTCCAGTGTAAATATTTTCTTTTGTACCTTCCCCATGTGGCATGCACCACTTCAGGTTTCTGCTTTGGCCTCCCTATCTCCTGCCCAAATGCTTGCCAGGAGGCTGCTGCCTCCCAGCTGACAGGAGTGGCTCCTCTCAACTCCTTGTGCTGGAGGCTGAGCCTAAAGTAAGCTAGTGTCAGAGGACCCCTTCTGGTAAAAGGGCCCACCTGTCTCCCTCCAACGTCCTTAGTAATGCCACCATTCTCTGAGCTCAGAAGAAGAGAAATTAAGAAAACAAAAACAAACAAAAAACAAGACACCTCTCCTGATAGAAATACCACAGAATTTTAGGCTATGACAAGTGGGGGTGTTGGGGGTAAAGGTGTAATTATGGATTTAAGTCCATCCTCCTTCAGGGCATGACTTGCTTGAGGTAACCACAGAGGGGCTTATAGGAAACTGGCCCCAGCCTTGCCCACCTTGGTTCCCCTTCATTTCCTGAACCCCTGCCCTGTGCAGCTTCTGAGAGCACATGCTCAGCAATCCAGGATGAGCAAGTCGGGGAGGAGATGACAGCTTCTGACGGAAAAGTGATATTTAAGCCAGAGCTCAAAGCACAGGCAGAACTGACTGGCAGAGGAGAAATGGGGAGGGCAACAGAAAGATCAAAGGCCTGGTGTTTGGAAGGGAGAGTCAAGGTAAGCTTTCTGCAGGGCTGGATGTGTGGTTTAGCAAATGAAGACACCCTGCTATCTTTAAAATGCATTGAGAGGGCTTGTGGAGATCTCTTGAGTGTGGGGACCAGGTCTTATTTGTGCATTCTCCATTGCCAAGTGGATGTTTGCTGAGTCAATGTGTGAAGGAGGTGAATGAAAAAAGCCATTTGAAACGGGGGTAACCCTCCTTTAATATATGTGGCTGAACCTCCAGGCCCCAGTGAGGTTTCTGACCAGTCTAAAGGTCAGGGCTGATGCAGAAATGCTACATTGTCAGGCAGCAGAGGCGAGGAAGGCCAATCAGCTCTGCCCTTTTGGCTCTCACTGGGCTATTTCTGGGGTCACTTAACCTCCTGCTTTGTTGTCCCTGCTTATTCCCACCCAGCCTATGCATCTCCAGCCCTCTGCCTTCCCACCAAAGGGCTGAGAATGAGCATCCTGTGGGACCAGGGGATCTTGGCCATGGGGGGCTGGCACCTCCTCCTGCAGGGCCCTTCCCCTGCTAGGGGGAGCTCCCAGCCCCTACACTAAACTGTCAGGCCACCTTCCCCAGAGGGCCAACCCCAAATATATCCCACAAGTGTCCACAAGTGACAACCCAGACTGTCATTCATTCTTCCCACGAAGAACCCTCCAGGTTGGTGTGGGAATGGGGTGAACTGGTCTAAGCCAAGACCCTAACAGTTAGATAAAGCTAGAGTGTCTGGGAGAGCTTCCTGGAGGAGATAGGCATAAGAGGGAGGGAGGGAGGATAAAGTCACCCTCAGTGTGCTAGACTCTGGCTTTGGGATGGTAGAGCCCTTTATTTATTTATTTATTTATTTAAAAAATTTTGAATCCCCTAGACTCAGTGTAGGGCATGGCACGTAGTAGGTGCTCCATACATGCTTGCTGAATAAATGGATGGGCGATGGGTACTTGGTCCACAGTTAGAGAAAGGAATAACTAAATGGTCTCACTAACCCTAGTATATGCCATCAATAGTAACACTTACTAAGAACCTATTGTATGCTGGGAGCTGCATGGCACATGACTTTAAGGGAGTCAGTGAGCTGAGATGATTCCACTCCTGCCTCTCTCATTCACTGGTTCTGAATGTGCCCTGCACTTTCCCACCTCCAGCTTTTGTTCATGCCAGTCCTTTGGCAGAAAGGTGCCTCCTGTACATCTCTGCATCTTCCAGGAAGTTTCTCCCCAGTCCACACTGCTCTGCCCTGCTCCTCTGGTCACCTGAAATTGATGGGGAGCTTGAGGCATTGCTGGTTTGCCCAACACTACTCCCAGCCTGCTCTGGAATCTCCATGACTGGGCTGTAGAGGCCCCTGCGGGTTTTGTTTCTGCCTCTCCTGCTGCAGGTTAGGCACACCCAGCCCAGGCTCCAGCTTCTCTCAGTGGACAAGAAGACAGACCCAGACCCTGCTCCCTGCCCTGCCTGGGGCTCCCATGCTGGATGAAGGCTGCCCCTGTAGGGGCTCACAGTTTCCAGTATTCTGGGCCAGGAAGAGGCTGGGCCCCAAAGGAAATGGTCGAGACTGCCCAGTCAGGCTTCTCAGCAACAAACTAAGAGAGTGACCACAGTTATCTGACTTGTGGACATGCCTTTGAAATTGTAAAGACCCCTGGTTTATTAAGCATCCCTGTGGGTTGCTGCTCCCTGCTAGACATTGTGATTGCCCAGAGCAAATCTTGAGGGTGACTGTCCTCTTTCATAGTCTAGGACCCAGGACTCAGAGAGGGGGAAATGACCATACCAGGGTTACACAGTATATAGGGCAGGGCAGATCTTTCCCCACTTAACCTCCTATGACCACACAGGGGATTGGGGCTGCCCAGAACATTGCCCTGGACATTTCATAGTTCTAAAAACCAGACAAGACACTGTGTACCTCCCCATCCTTCCCACTATCCCCTGACTCCACCCCCATTTTATGCTCTTCCTTAGTGGCTTCTTCTTCCCTGTTTTAAGTTCCCTGTGACTCACAACTCCTTATCCTGGGCTCCTATTAGGACCCTGCCCAGAGTACCCTCTCCAACTCCTCGCAGAAGGTAATCTTTCTTTCAGGGAAAATTTTCCTTTTACAGCTGGCTTAGGAGGCCAGGGAGCAGGAAGAGACTCCTCCCTGGTCATGCTACCTTAACTGGGGCAGACAAAGAAGGGCCCCACAGACTGCATTCATTCCTCACCATGTCCTGGGCCTTCTGTGCCCAGCCTGTTGATCTTGGTTCTGCCCCTGCAAGGCCCTCAGCCCATGTTCCTGTTGATCTTCACAATAGCCCACTGGAGTGGGCAGATAACAAAACTCATTAAGCAACTTGCTCATAGTCACACAGCTCACAAAAGACCAGAGCTCATGAATTCTTACTTTGCGTTCATGCTTTTTGGTCCAATGCATGAACTGAGCATTCATCTCCCCTGGCTCATACCAATTAAAAACCCTCCTTTAGATCTTCCCATGTTTTCTCTGGATCCAGTAGGAAGCAGGAACCAACTAGGATCCCCTGGATTTCTAGGGTCCCCTGGATCTCTAGGGTCCCCCAAAGAGTATTCAGGGCACTGCAATGAGGGGACCTGGTTCCAAGCTCTGGAGCTGACAGGTTTGGGGGCCACTTTCCTTGGGCAGAGCCAGACACTTCATTTCAGGGAGCAGGGGCAAGAATCAGGGGTTCTTATGGAAGATGCAGGCTAGGATCAGGTTTTGGGGCTCCTGGGTAGGAGAGGAAGGACTCATCAGAGCCATTGTAGAACATGGAGTCCAACACTTTGTTGTCTTTCAGGCTGGCTCAGTCCTCACCCAAAAGGAGAGTCCACACCTTCCCAAGGCAGCCCCTTAACTCCAATGTTAGAAATTTCTCCTTCAGTCATCCTCAGATCATCACTCTCCCCTGCCCAGCAGTCTACACACAGAGACCCAGGCCTCAGGGCTGGAAAAGCCTGGCTGCTTCACAGCAGCAGCTACCTTTATTGCCCCTCCTCCTAGCCAGGCCTGACCTGAGACCCTGGACACCTTTAATTTTTTGATGAAGGTTGAATTATTATCCTGCCTCACTGATGAGAAAATGTAGGCACAGAGAGTGTCAGTGCCCAGACCAGGATCATACAGCTGGTAGGTGAGGAACTGGTACTAGGTGTGTCCTTACCTTGCAGCCTAGGCCAAGCCTACACTGCAGAGGAGTTGGCAGCGAGTTAAAGGCCTGTCACCTGGGGGTGACCCTAAGGGCTCTCAGGACTTTGGGGGAGGCTGCCCAGGTTGTATAGGCTGTGCTACAAGTGCCTGAGGACTGATGGCCCCTGCCCCCCTGACCTGAGCCTTCCCGTCACTCAGCCCACTAGATTTTTCTCCCATACATAGAACCTGACCTCTCAATACCCAGGAGAGTTGTCCTCCAGGCACCCCTGTCCTGGGAGCCATTCAGACCCTCCCTGGCCCTCCCCAATTCATCCTAAACCCTGTCTAAATGCCCAGAAAGTGCCTGGCAAAGGAGGAAGCCCAGGGCCTGGGACCTCTTACTTGATCTCTGTCTGGCCACCTGCTTTCCGGGCAATCTGCACCAGCTCCTTCCCGTACCGCTCCTCTGCTTGGGCCCTGCAAGAACAAAGCGTGGGCACTGCATCTACTCCAGTTCTGCTGGCCATGACTTCCTCAAATGTCTGCAGGTCCCTTGAAAGTCTGTAACAGAACCTGGAAAGTCGTCCTCTCAGCATCTAGGAGCAGGCTGGCCCTATAGGCTTCTTTCTCTAATAAATGCTGGCCAGCCCTGGCTGGTTTGGCTCAGCGGTTAGAGTGTTGGCCTGTGGTCCAGAGGACCCAGGTTCTGTTCCCAAGGGCACATACCTCGGTTGCAGTTTGTCCCTGACCCTGGTTGGTCGTGTGGGTGGCAACCACTCGATGTGTCCCTTTCACGTTGATGTTTCTCTCTCTCTCTCTTTTCCTCCCACTCTATCTGAACAAAAAAATGGGAAAATGTCCTCAGGTGAGGATAAATAAATAAACAAATAAATAAATGCTGGCCAAATGCATGTACTTTTGAAGGTACTGCATATTATTTGCTCACTTAGGAAAGGCCAACATCTGGGGAAACATAGAAGACCCACACTCGTGACTTTTTTTAAAAAAAAAGGAAAATAACTTTCATGTATGAAGTGTTCTATAAAATAATACAGGAAAAGGCAATACTTTATAAGAAAACTGGCCCAAGTTTCTGAATATTTTTTAATGTAACCCATATTATTTTCAATATCAGGGAAAAAAGGGTTATTTTTTTCTATTTTTATTGTTGACACTATTAAAGATGTTCCCCCATTTTCTTCCCTCTGTTCACTTCCAGCTCCCTTTCCCCCACCTTGGCCTTCACCACACTGTTGTTTGTGTCCATGGGCTATGCTTATATATTCTTTGGTTGATCTCTTCACCTTTTTTTATCCAGTTCCCCCACCCCCAACCCCTCTGCCCTGACAGCAGCTTGGCTGGGATGGGCAGCCTCAGACATTTTCCAGAGTTGGGTGGAGGGTTGCCTCCCTCCCTCACCAGCCCTTACCCACCCTGTCGATGCTCACCTCTGCCTCAGCATCTCCTCCATGTCCTTGCACATCTTCCTGCCATCCAGCAGCCGCTGCAGCAGCACCTCATATCCCGTGTGGGCCATAAAGTCCCTGCACTGTCAAACAGAACAGAAGGATGTTTGAGGGCTACACTGGGCAGTGCTGGGTGGGGAGCACAGCCTGGCAAGTACCCCCTCTGACAACAACCCATCTGCCTCCATCTCCCTCATTCAAAGGAACGCTCTTAAGATTCAGTACCTGGTTTCACATAGGCACACAGGAGGTCCCTCCCTCATATGTGGAGGTGCCAGGTGCATAAGTGAGACCTACCTGCACCAAAGCTTACAGTCCAGGAGACATCAACTCCTCAACACAAGACAGCCATGGGAAGGGCTACCACCAAGATCCCGTGATGACAGCCTTTATAGGGTCCCCTACACTGCTCACTCCTGTCACTGTTTCAATAACCCTATTATCTCAGATGTGTAAGTATGAGATTCAGCACCTAGTGTTTTCTTTTCTCAGACCCCAAAATAGCCTCAGAGACTGGGGGAAAGAGTTCCATTTCTTTGATCTCACACACCATAGCCCCATCTCTCAGAGCTCAGAGGATCAGGAAAGTTTTCATAAGGCCACACACACACTTGGGGGTAGCAAGTCTAACTGTCTTAAAGTCAAAGCTGATGGTGCTCCTGAGGAGAGTCAGATGTGGTAGGAAAGGGCAGAGATGCCACCAATTACCTCAACTGGCCCCATGTCAGACCCAGCCCACCCTCAGCAACTCAGAATAGTAGTATCTTTACATCTGTAGCACACTTGGGACACCAAGCTCATCCTTCCAGAAGCATTCCCAGAAATTCCATAAGCCCAGGTTCTACTGCCCACAGGGTGTCAAGAAGGGTGTCTGTGCCCTGATTGGTTACTCAGGGCCCCACCTGAAAGAAGTTGTTCCCCTAAATCTACTGCAGTCCTGTTCTGGGGCCAGAGACAGCTTCAATGTCCAGACTAATTTTTCTGGGCTAGGCTGGGCTAGACTTTTATTTCTGTGGCTTTCATGGGTAGTCATTTGCTCACTAAAAAGCCAGCAGATAATAGCTTCCTACCCCCCAGTCTCTGCCTTTCCTCTGGACCCAAAGGGTAGAAGGAAAATGAATCTGGAGGCCTCCTTTCCTCTCCCCATGAGGAGGTCACTTTAAGCTGGACACCGGCATCCAGGTCTAAATTCCACAGATCACCAGAAGAGAGGCAACTTGTCTAGTGTCCCTCAGTCCTTTGGGGAAACTGAGGTACAAAGAAAGGAAGGGTATGGTTGAGGTCACACAGGCAGAGATGGGACAAGGGGACCTGTTCTTGCTCCATGATATCTCTGGGAGAGATGACATGGAGCTGAGCGGGGAACTGACTAGGGTCCAGCCCTATAGCAGGACACTCTTCCTTGCCAGTCCCATGACCAACTTGACTCTCCAGAGGAACCCCTCTGTCCTTAATTCCAGAGTAGAAAGAAAAGCAAAATCAAACCTATGTTGGCTGTTCTGGAGGAGGCAGAAGGCACCAAGGGGCCCTGCAGGCTGGGTCCCTAGGAGCTCATGTCCCCAAAGTGCTACAGGCTCAAGAGTTTTGTTCATCCTCTGCTCAGAGCCACGGTGATGCTAGCAGGAGCTGCAGTGAATGTGCTACTGTTACAAGTGACTAGCCTGTTCTGAGGAAGTGCCTGACTGCCCAGGAGCTGCAACGTCCCCTAGACTGCACCCTCACTCCATCCACCTCCCCCAGGGAGTGAGTTCTGATTCATTGCTCAGAGCTGGGCAGCACATCATTGAGGAAATGAATGAATCAATCATTCACTCAGTTAATCAGTTGGTTTTCCAGGTCCACAATACAAGACCCAGCACCAGATCACCCCTTCCAGAGCCCACCCCAACTTTCTCTTTCTGCAACTCATTCAGCTTCACCGTCTAAACAAGAGCTCCCTGCTGGTCCCCTCATTTAAGGACTCAGGTTGACATTTCCACAATGCCAAAGCTACCAAAAGGAGGGTCTCTCACCTCTTTCTGTGCACCCACCACCTCTGTCACCTGAAAACTGTCAGGATCTTTTCCCTTTGTGAATTCCATTTGTGGAGTCCACCTGCCACACACTGCACCAAGAACATTACAGCCATTATCTAATTGAAAACACACACCCAGGAAAGTAAGGATGGTGACAAGGAGGCCCAAAGATAAGAGGTGACTGCCCAAAGTCACTAACCTGGTAAAGGTCAGAATTTGAGATACAAACGCATGCTGGCTGTTTCCAAAGCTGCGTACCCACACCAGTCATTCACTAGACATCCATTAGCTGTTTTTAAATTTTTTGAAACATAAAAAAATATATTTTTAAATAACTTTTGAAAATGATTATTTACATTCTCTCCATCTCAAATCAAAGCTGTACTTCAGGCTATCATTCATTTGAGGAATGCTGCCTTGAAGAAGGACTGTGCTGGCTCTGCAGACTAAGTACTGACAACCAGCAAGCAGCCAGAAGCCCCACAATGTGGCACCTAGGGTAACCCACCCTGGGGTAGGGTGCTGGGTGGACAATAGATGCGGTTCCCTCTTTTGAGAGGCTTGCTCAAACCACATGTGAGATTGCAGGCCTTGCCATCTATGCTGTGTGGCCACTCTGGGCCTCACTTTCCCCATGGAGGGACCAGACTGGGGCTTCCTGCTATCTCTTGAGGCTCCAGGAGGAGGTACTCAGGAAAGCTCTGGGCAAGAGAAAGCATATTCCTGCCTCAGCCTTTAGACAGTGTGGAGAAGGCCTGAGTTGCTGTTCTGCCCAGGAACAACCCACCTGCTTCCCACTCTGGGTGGATCTCAGTGTGAGCCATTGTCCCAGCCTGAGAGCTGGCTGTGGCCCTGCCATGGCCCTACTTGATCAATAGAGAAGCATTTTGTGTACCCACCACCACTTCCTTCTTTTCCTGCCCATATCACTCTTGGTGGCTGCAGGGACCAGGGCCTTGTGTAAACCACTTCCCTTCTTGGAACCTGGTTTCCTCATTGAGAAAGTGGGGGCAGAGGCCAACCTCTCTCCTGGCCCTGACATTCACCTCTCTATTGCACAGCCCTATCAGGAAAAACTGTGGCTGCCAAGTCAGGGAGGGTGCCCAGGTCTTGCCTGAGAGACTGGACAGAGTTCATTAGACTAGATATGAAATCACATCCTATCCTGTGATCCTGGTTGTTCTCAATTCTACTTCCCTCCTTATAAAAATGGGCCAGATAGTTCCCACCACGTAGGGTTGATCTGAGAAGCCAATGAAATCATGTGTATAGGTGGGAATAGTGATCAGAACTTGCCCTGAAATAGGTACTGGGCTAAAGATGATTACTCCCATTTAATAGCTGAGGACAATGGAATGCAGAGAGGTTACCTAACATGACCTGCAGGGTATGGTTGAGATTTGAACCCTGCTCTCCCAGACCAAGATCTTGGTTCTTAACCTCCCATTCCCTCACCTCTCTGCAAAGGCTCAAGCTTAGTGGCTGTTCTGCAAGTGGTAGGTCCCCATGCCCTGCCCTGTCGCTGCCTGCTCCACCACCCCCACCAGATAGAACCTTCCTCCACTGTGGCCAGGCTGGAAAAATGGCGTAATCTCCCTACCACAGCCCACACACACCATTCCCCACCAGACGGTTCATTTAAAAGGCTGAAGAATATTTTTCAAATGCTCCTTTATGTGGAATTTCAGAATATAAAGTACATCAGCTAAACCTCTAACCTTGGAGAAAGAGGACTGGGATTTGGTCTCAGTTCCCATCAACTAGGAATAAGCTGGGTAGCCTTGGTAAAGTCCTTTGCTCTCTCTGGGCCTTCCTCACTGTGAAATGGGTATAAGGGGAAGAAGTGACCTTCAATTGACCTTCCAGCAGTGAGGTTGATGTATGTATGCTGGTTTTGGAAGCCATGATGACCAGTGGTGGTGTTTTACCTAGATAAATCAGGAGATGGGCTGGAGCTGCCTGGGGGCTGAGAGAAGAATGAGGCTGGGGTGGGAGTAGTTGGCCTGTCCAAGAATTGACACTGATATTTCAACTGGGAACTAAGTGGGGGCTGTGGAAGGTAACTGGGAAGAGCATCCTTGTAACTCTCTACCCTTGAGAACCGTCTAACGGGGGAGAGGAGGCACCAAAGAAGCTGTGTGGAGTGATCTGTTGGATACAACTGGGAGGAGTCAGAGGCAGGCAGTAGCAGAAATAGACAAATACTGCAGAGGGGTGCTCCAGGGGGTAGGGATGGCAAAACCTGCCGAGGTGCCCAGGAGAGGGAAAGCTAATCTGTGGGCATCTACCACCTGCCACACTGTTACCAGCTGCAACAGCACCAGGGAAATAAGACATTTTACCCTTTAAACGTCCTGACCCATGCCCTTCCTGTCCATAGAGATGCCAGAAGCAGCTGGTAGTGGGTATGGGTAGAACATGGCAAGTGAGGAAATGGATCCTGTTCTCTTTTCCCATCATATGCTTCAAACCAGTTTGAAGCTTTAAACTGAATGAGAATGAAATTATGATCTTAGTTTGTCGAGCTGGAGTAAGTTATATCTGAAAAAGACTAGAAAAGCTCTAACACATGCCCAGGGGTGGGGAAGAGAAATCTAATAATGGTTTTGGAAGGTAGAAGAAAGGAAAATTGTTTCCTGCTTTCACCTTACCAAGTTCAAAAACCGTTTTGTAAAGTGCTAACCATTCTAATGTCTGACATGCTCTTGGATTGATAGGCTCTTCATTTTTTAAACCTTTTTTAACAAAATCATTTTTCTTGGTGTAAGGGGAGACAGAACAGGGAGACTAGCCTCTTTCCTCTCATCTCAGAAGCTCCAGAAGATGGGGACAATTCTGAACAATCGTGAGGAGCAGTTTAGAGCTGTGCTGGCTTTGCCCTTTCGCCTCTCACACCAGCTTAACATTAGGGACTTCTGCAGCTAGCAACTAGTTTACTGTTGCTTGTCTTCTGTGGATTTCTCGTGAAAACAAATCATTAGGATTGTTAGGAAACTTGAGGTAGTCAGCACTGAACTCTCCAGAAGGCAGATCCATGAAGACAGAATGGACTTGTCTGGTTCTCTGCT